GTGCTTTGGCAGAGAAGCAGACCCCAAATGCTTTCTCATACACATGGTCACAAGATCTAATATAGACATCCCCGACCTTTCATTTTTAGGAAAGGTGATCCAGAAGGTAAAGCAAGAAGCAAAGGTGATAATGTCAGCTCTGCATTGGCCACAGAGGCCAAGGTTCTCAAATCTCACAGAACAGAAGTTAGAACCACCATTGCAACTACCTGAGAGACCAGACATCCTTACCAAAGTTCATTCCTTCATCATGACCCAGACTATATACAACTGACAGCCTGACTATTGAGAGAGAAGTGTTAGTAACACTTCCAAGGTGCTTGGAACTCTATTCTTCTCCAGGCAAGTTTCAACACTAATGGCCACCTGGACTAGGTCTAGCTTGTGATGTTGAGAACACACACACATATACACATGCACAAATCCCAAAGCTCCTATTATCCCCGTTATGCTGATGTTTCTTCAGGAAGCTAATGAAAGAGGATTTCAGCTTAGCACAGTGGCAATTTTAAGTAGCAACCTATTATTGGGATTCTCTGGCTCTTTGATATAGAGCCCTCAAGTATCCAGATTTCTCCAAGTAGCCAGACTGATTAAACCTGCAGTTAGATAACACACTCTTTTGAGTTGCTGACATTAATATGTCTTCTACCTATCCATCAAAACCTGTTTTTTTTTTTGCTAACCATCATGTATACTAGATTAATGTCTGAATTAGTATCTTTATCTATGCAGGAACACCTCTGTGTGTTCTATGATGACAAGACAGTGCTAACAACCCCAGAATAATTCTTATCTGAGATGAATTTGTCATCCTATGCCTCAGAGGAAATCATTTTCCCTTCATTATGTCCGAAGTCCTGACATACAACAGAGAAGCTGTGGCACTCAGGCATTCGGAGAGCACTAAAGATCTATATGAAGTACACCAAAATCAACAAGAAAATTGGGCTCCTTGTTTACCTCCTTTCAGCCAGAGTGTCAGGAACTCAGGATATCCAAGCAGTCAATAGCTAGAAGTATGCCTCTATGAAGCATAGCCTGATCCAAGATAGCAGGTGCTCCTGTTCCAGAGGGAATCAGGGTAAACTTCACAAGGTCTATGGCAATTTCTTGAGCAGAAAGAGCTTGTGCTTTCCCTGCATAGATCTACAGGATAGCAACGGGATCATCAATTAACACCTTTATGAGTAAAGTCTCTGCAGAGGCCTTCAGGAAGGTGCTGCCAGCAGTGGTCCTGTAATAGCATTGCCATTTTGGGCAATTAATGAGGGGCGGGCAGGGGCAGGAGTGATATCTTCTTTATTTAATTCTGTTTTGCTAATCCATTCTTGCTTCTGTTTGCTGCTCCTTATACATATCATAATTGCAGGAGACACTGAGCTGCAGATTGCTACATGTCTTACCTCACCATTTGTTTTCTGAAGCAGCACCTCCTGCAATTCTAACCTCCCTTGATAGCTTCCTAGCCAAAAGAATTTAATTGTGATAGTTAAGCTATGTACTGTGGTCTACAGTACATAATTTACTGGTTGTTGGTGAAATTATGGTTACTAATAATATTTTACAAGTTCTTATACAGTTTTGGAATAAATCACCTGGGCTGTATTACAATTTTGAACTGCTTCCAGAAACTGCAGTCTGGAAGGGAGTAGCCCATGCATAACACACACTGCTAGCAGAATGGTACATTTCTTACTTGATAATTTCCTTTCTTGTGCCTTGCTGGAAACCTCCCTCCAATTAATGTTATCTTTTCTTTAATGTCAGAAATCATGACTAATAATGATTTTTTCTTTCTTTGTAACTGCCCAAATAATACCTATATCACTGGTAGGGCCAGCATGTTGGCCCCAAGGATTAGCAGGGGAGTGAACCAGATAACTAATAAAGCTTTGCTTACAGTAATTTCAATGACTAGGAAAATAGTTAATTTTTTTCCCATTAAATGAAGTGATACAAATCATTATCTAATGACTTGTTCTCCACCATCTGAATGGAAAACTTGTACTTTTGAGATCCAGCAGTGATCTACGTTACCTGAATGGGAGGTATGGGAATAAAAGGCAAGGGAAGGCAATGCCTTTTTAGTGCTCAGTCTTCTCCCTCTTCCTATCTCTGGTTATGTCTACACTGCAGAGCTTTTCTAGGATACCTCTGGTATCCATGTCCAAGGAATGTGTCTGCTTTTCTGAAAAAAAAAAAAATTGGAAAAGCAGACACCTTCTTTTTGGCATCCCTATAAACATCGTTCTACGAGGAAGAAGGGATGTTCTAAAGAGGGTTTTTTCCCAACATTTGGCCACATGTAGACAGGCCAAATGTCGGAAAAGCCTCTTTCAGAAGAAAAGCAGAAAAAGATACGCAAATTGTGAACCGCAATTTTTTTTATCTTTTCCCAACTTTTCCCTGCAGTGTAGACATAGCCCCTATTCCGATTGTTCCTGAAGGCTCTCACAGCAAGCTGTTGCAAACTAGTGAGTCTATCCCCTTCCAACTTGCCAGACCTATTAGCATAACAATTAACCTGTGAAAGAGCCATTAAATGGTAATGAAGCTATTTAACAGGCATGTGCCAACTCACAAATGCAGTTGTGCACTACTGTATCTACAAAACCTTATTTTAGAATTTGCTTCAAATATTTCATAAGTTTGCTGCTAAAGATTATAAAATCACATCCCCTAAAAATCCTGGAATAGATTTTTAGATGCACAATCTGAATATTCAGTTTTAGCCTTAAATGCTTGGCTCTTCAGTCATGTAGTTCAGGGGTTCCCAACCTGTGGTCCACACACCTGGGGGGCCCGATCATGGTGGACCTGAACCTGTGGTCCACACACCTGGGGGGCCCCGATCATGGTGGACCTGATTCTTTATTTTCTTTTCTTTTCCCCAGGGAGGTGGGGGGGAGGCGTTCTTTTCTTTTCTTTTCTTTTCTGGGAGGTGGGAGGGAGGCAGTTCTGTGAAATGTTAATAGCTTGAAAAGGGGTCCGTATGCTCGAAAGGGTTGGGAACCTCTGATCTAGTTGTTTAAATAAATTCTTCATAAGATCATCCTTATCTAAAATACACATTTAAATTTTAGTTACTACAGTACAAACATTTGCTTCCAAAGTCTCCCTGTCTTTTCTGTCCATCTCTGCTCTCTTTTCACCTTCCTGTTGAAGAAAGCTGGTAAAGGGACAATATCCCCTTTCTTCCAGATAGCTGGACAATGACTTTCCCTTTTTGTTTACTTCTTACTATGTGATGAACTAGAACTCTCTACAAAAATCCGTACCCTGCCAAGATATAAACTCCTAGGTTATGTTTAAAATCTATGGAAACATACTTTCAACATAAATATATGGTGACATTTCATAAACGTGTCTATTGTTATGAAGATCACACAACATAAATTAGGTTACGTCTACACAGCAGTGTTATTTTGGAATAACTGACGTTATTCTGAAATAACATAGCCTGCATCTACACAGCAAGCAATTATTTCAACATAATGCTGAAATAATGTCAAGCTTGAGGACTTCTTACTCCGACTCCTGTAACCCTTATTTTAGGAGGAGGAGTAGGGGAAATCGGAGGAAGAGAGTGCTCTTCTTCAGACTTCCTGCTGTGTAGACAGCTCCAAAAGCCTAAATAAGCTATTTTGACTTAAGCTACACAACTGCCGTAGCTCTAGTTGCGTAGCTTATTTTGCCGGTAGCCCTGCTGTGTAGACATGCCCTTAGTATTCCCTTTTTGTAACAGCAATGAACTTTGTTATGGCTCTGACTGATCAATTTAAAATTATGTGTTTGTTTCAGTGAGTTAAATATGTAGTAACCTGGACTGATTACTTTATGAAGTTAAAATATTTAAAATATAAAATCATCTTAGAAATATTGGTGAAGAAAATGTGAAATGGAGAAGGGCTGCATCATGTATTCCATAATATTTAATGTTGTCAATGCATTTGCAAATAAATCTATGACAAACTTCAGGGTATATCCAAAAACCTGTCATTTTTTATTCCCAAATTTTGTGCTTTTAATTAAGTACCGTCTGCATGTCCAGTTTTCTCAATCTGGCATGCAGTGGAAAACATGCTCCATTTTCTTTAGAAATAAATTTTTGAAAAGTGTTTTTCAAATGCCATTGCTATATTGGGTTCAGAGATTTGGTTGGAATGGGTGAGCAGAGAAAGTGAGGGAAGAGAAGAGGAGACAGTGGCTAGGGAGCAGAGGTTAAGCAGTGGAGTATGGGCAGGGCCATGGGCTAGGGAGCTTGCAACCCCAAGCAGCAGTTTCACCTACCACCCATTAGCAGTATAAAATGTTTCATCCACGAATGATGTCAAGGTACAACAAAACTAAGACACCATTAATGCATGGTGCTAGTTCAATGGTTCTCAAACTGTGAATTGGGACTCCAAAGTGGGTAGCAACTCCATTTTAATGGGGTCAGTAGGGCTGGCATTAGACTCACTGGAGCACAGGTCTGAAGAAGCCCGAGCTCCACCGACCCAAGGGTTTCATCCCCAAGCAGATCTGTCATCTAAGACCCATTACCTAGAGCCGAATTCCTTGGTCTTCTGCTTTGGCCTGGGAAGTGGTGGGGCTTGGGTGGGCTTATGCTTCAGTTACCCACCTTGGGGTTGTGTAGTAATTTTTGTTGTTAGAAAAGAATTGTGGTGCAATGAAGTTTGAGAACTGCTGGGTTAGTTGATCTGCCCTTACTGTGGATCCAGAAAGAAATGTGGTAAGTTTGTGCCTATCCAGGGCATGGGTTTTGTCACATCTTAAATTTAACTCTAAATTTTCATAATAACTGTGGCACACTTTCACTTGTTCTCTATACTTTGATGTTAACTGGCTCCAACAAATGCCTGCATTTACTGGCACTAATTGATTCTAGCAAAATAGCACACTAATTGCCTCTGGCTAGCCAATATTTTAAAAATCCATTACTATTTTATTTTGTATTGAAGTTTGCTTTTTTCTCCCTGTCTTGAAATATTTAGGTTGGATTCTGTATTAGGTTTGTTGGTCCTTGGAGAGGCTGCCAAATTAAACTTGTCCTGCTTGAAGGTTTTAATGGATCTAGTGAGAGATTTTATTTCAAGCTCTATGTCTCTTCAGAAGCAGGTAACCACAGTACTAATTTAGATGTAGCCAGAAAATGTGTTTGTTTCAAATACTAAATTGGATAGAAGCAAGACATTTGTTTTCTTTACTATTTAAAACTGAAGGTCATGTTGGTCTTACCATTTTGAGATGCAGATAGAATGAGCAGGCCAGTTATTTCAATAGAATAAAGATCTGAAAGCATAATTTACGTATTCTTTAACCACTATGCATGTCTGGTGCATGATTATTTCCTTTGCTATATTACCCACTCACATCTGGGTTATTAATGTGACTAAATATGGCATTAGATTATAGTACATGACTCTACTCCTATTATATACTATATGGTTCTTTTGTTAGATCTTTGATTTTGTCATAGTCTTTCTAGGTATTTGATGGAATTTTTGTATTTCTGCTAACAGAAAGACAGCTGCATGCAAAATCTATCTTCTTGGAGCTGGGAAATAGGCTATGTATACACCACAGTACTGAGAGACATTTGTTTAAATGGGATAATCTCAGATTTACAAAAGACAGCTTTTCTTGGATTCTGTGATTGTACAAAACCACCTAAGCATCCAGAAGAATTAAGAGGAGCAAGTTTTTTTGACCTTCTGCAATATAGTCCTTCTGATGGTCCACACGACTGTAAGTACCAAATAAGTAAAAATAAAGCAACAGCTATACTCCCAACACACACATTCCTGCCAATTTTATACATATGCTAAACTCAGCTACAGAAAACTCAGTTCGGTGCCTAGTTTTCACTTCCCTGAACATTTGGGGATAATTTGCTATTTATGATTAGCCCTATTGTGTTATTAATATAGGTAATATAAGAATACAGGAGTATTAACTATATTATATTTACATTGTAATTATTCTGAATCATCAATTCTTAGATGAGTAGAAGTAGTAGTTAAAGGTATCAATGAGCAAAAGCAAAACATAACTGTACTGTAAATTCAATGCATGCATCTGATGAAGTGGGTCTTTGCCCACGAAAGCTTATGCTCCTACACTGCAGTTAGTCTATAAGGTGCCACAGGATTCCTCGCCGCTTTTGCAGATTCAGACTAACACAGCTACCCCTCTGATACTTGTAAATTCAATGTATCTACAAGGTAAATTATAGTATGCAGTATACTAATTTATTCCCAGCTCTTCCAGTCTAATGCAGCATGATCCTTAGGAAAGTCACTTAAACTTCCTTGCCTCAGTTTCCCTATCTATAAAACAAAGGTAATAACACTGACCTCCATTTTAGAGTGCTTTGAGATGGACTGATGAAAAGTGCTCCATATAAAAGAGGCTAAGTATTACTAATCTTATGGAATGTGTCTAAGAAATTTAATGAATAATGGGGAAGAAATTAGAAACAGAAGCTCTTTTTCTGTGTAAACTCTCAAAATTACCTATTTGGCCAGTGTGATTCTTACCAATTCTTAAACACCTTTAATTTATGTTACACTGAAAACATGGCACAATGTTCAGAAAAGATTAAGATACAGTAAAACCCGTCTAACAATATCGGTTTTATATAATCTGGACATCTAAATCTCTGGATACATGTGCACACAAGTGATTGCAGATGACTGTGTGCAAATGCCATGATCACATACACAGTTACATACAAACTGGATAAAGATAGAAATAGCTGGTTATTTAATTTTCCTCCAAATGTGCACTTGCAGGAACAGTGCCTGAAAATGGAGGACTTCTATACACTGTCATGAAAGCACTGTTGCATATACATATTATGTACACATATCTGGCTAAATACTTGAATTTTTAGATTAGTGTATATGGTAGATTGGAGTGATTACATACTTTTTGATGAAATAAAGGACTTGTGCATAGACATAAAAAGGATAACACTTGTTTTTAAGAGACAGCACTTCAGAATGCTATATTCATGGACCAAAAATCATAGACTGAATTAATATAATATTGTCTCATTTCTTTGCATTATTTTTACTTTATAGCATCTGTTGCCATTAGAAGTTTTAACTACCTAGCGAACACTATGGCCATGACAGATGACAATGAATCCTGAATGAGTCTAAATATTTTAATTTATTTTCAATTCTAAAACTTAATCTCCTGCATTCCTTCTACCACCACTTTTCTGTCACTATGATACTACACTGTTTATACCTTATATACAGTACACAGATGTGCATTTATTGCAGATAAATGATCATCTCCCCCTTTAAAAATTACTTGCTCACTGCTCAGATCAATCAAAAGGCTTTGTATGTCTCTTTTCCATCTCCTGCTAGGAAAGGTAGTAGTCCTATGATTTCTTTTGTCATGATCCATCCTTCTTTTCTTTTTGTCAGATGTGCTCAGGGAAAAAATGCATTACACAAAAAGCCTATTATTAACCATAGTATTTCTCTAATAGTCTTATGCATTCTAAATGATCTTCCCACATAGCAATGTCAGTGACATCCGTCAAAAAAATAAAGCCAAATAAATGTATTTTTCATTTTGGAGACATTCTAAAAAGCCTCACCACCTTTACTTGTCAGGCTTAAAAAAAAAGTTATAAAAATGAACTTCTTAACAGTACATCTGACCTGGATACATAAAACTTGAGTCTTTTCCCTCCCTGATTTCCTTTTGGGTTTATAAGAAATGCACTGAACTCAGGGGGTTGAAGAAGAAGGCATACGATCGAGATCTGTCACAATTTCAGTCTCTCTAATGCCATTCTGGTATGTTGAGACTGCTTGTGCCATTAAGGAATTTCCATGTATGTGTCATTCCCTAGGGAAGTCCCAAAGCTAGAAGATATTTGGAATTAAGAACTGGCCTGAGTTCAGCAAAGAAACAGGAGATCAAAAGACAAAGGAAGTCAGAGCCAAGGCTTATATCGGCAAGGAGTAACTGGTCTGGCCTGGAGATGTGAATGATTTTGGATTCAATTTTGGGGGAAAGTATAGGTCTCTATGTTTGGAAGGCTACTTCCATGTTGGGGGCAGAAGATAAAATCAGTTGAACCAAGGAAATCATGTTAAGCACTCAGATATCGTGGTGAAGGGAATGTTAAAGAATCCTCAGTAGATAAAAAGTAGATTTTTAAAGGTTCAGGAACAGCATTGTAGTTTAAACCACTTCTTATTTGATAAGAACCAACCCATCTGTAGTGTTCACTTCCCATGAATAAATTAGGCAAAAATGGACATTTGAAGGACAGTGAATCCTGATGACTAATTGACTGAACCTACTTATCTGGAAACAGACAGATGGACGCTAAACTAATAATTATATGCTTGAGAAAAGTGCCAAGGACTTGTTAATGAACATGCATTATCAGAATATGGGTTTTATGTTTCTTCCAAAAAAAAAAAAGACACTCACTATAGAACCCTACCAATAATCAAACAGCATTAGGGCATTGTTTCAATATTCATTCAGGACAAAGAGAGACTTCTACTGAATGTCTTACTGCTTCTGCATTTTTTCCGTAGAGGTCTTCAATCTCACTAATGACGGTCTCTGGCCCTGCGCTCTAGTTAGACCTGATGAGATGAAGTCCTAAGGCGCACCATGTAAACACAGTATATATACACATACATCTATAGATTTATTACTTACCATGTGACAGAGATACTGGACCTGCCAGAGTTTCCAGCACTGGATACAATGCCTGTCTTACAACTTTGTTGAAAAGCTGAGTCTTCTCATTTTTTCTGAGCTGGCATGAAGCAATATTATCTGGATTTGAACACCCATTGGTAGCTCACAAAATAACAGAAGATGACAAGTCTCCCATCCATCATCACTGTCTCATCAATCATAGCAACAATTGCAGAGCTCTCATGAAGTGGTTATTAAACTTTAACTTTAAGAGTCTGTCCTCTACATTTACACCAGGCTACGTACATAGAGACCAGGGCCAGATTAACTCTTCTGGGGGCACCTAGGCTCCAGGGTAGGGCCAAAATAAGGGGTTCAGTGTAGAAGGGGACTCTAGGGAAGGTAGGAAGGAGAGGGTCTGAGATCTCTAACCGGGGGCATGGGTTCTGGGGTGGGGGTGGATATGAGGATTTTGTGGTGTAGGAGAGGGCTCCAGGATGAGGTCAAGAGGTTTGGAATACAGGAGCAGGGTCAGGATGGGAGTCTGGAGTGGGGTGCATGGTCTGAGAGGGAGTTAGGGTGCAGGGGAAAGCTCAGGACTGATTGTGCAGGATCTGGGAAGGAGTTAGGCACTTAGGATGCAGGAGGAAGCTCAGGGCCAGGGAATGGGGTAGTAGTGAGGGGTGCTTCCCTGTGGCAACTCTCAGTGGGAGGAGAGGTGGCCCTGCACTGTCTTGAGCTCACCTGCAGGCACTACCCTCCACAGATCCTATTGTCTGTGATTTCTGGCCAATGGGAGCTGTGGGAAAGGATCCTGCAGGTGAGGCCAGCATGGGAACAGAGCATCCTGGCACTTGCAGGGATGCGGCTGCCATGTGGGAGAATGGCAGTGTGAGAAGCCGCCTCTTCCCTCTCCTCCATCAGGAAGGGTGAGCCTTAGCATGGGACCCTGAGCTGCAGCCCCTAAAGCCCCTTTCTAAATCCAGCTATGGGGCTGTCAGGCAATTAAAAGAAGTAATCATGATTAATTGCACAATTAAAGAATTAAAGAATACTATTTAAATATTTTGGATGTTTCCTGCCTTTACAAATATTTTATTTCAATTACAATACAGAATAGGTAGTCTACAGTGATCATTTTATATTTATTTTCATTACAAAGATTTGCACTGTAAAAAACAGAAGAAATGATATTTTTTTATTTCCCTATTACTAGTGCAATCTCTTTATCATGAAAATTGAAGTTACAAATGGAGACTTATATACAAAAAATAACTGTGTTAAAAATAAAGCAATGTAAAACTTTAAGAGCCTGCAAGTCCACTCAGTTCTACTTATTGTCCACTCAATGAAACAAGTTTGTTTACATTTGCAGGAAATAATGCTGCCCGTTTCTTGTTTACAATGTCACCTGAAAATGAAAATCGGTGTTTGCATGGTATTATAGCCAGCATCGCAAAATATTTATGTGCCCAGTGGTGAAAGTGGGCCAGAGCAGTGCTCTGGTAAGAACTGGATACCAGTACTGGCCCTTGCCTGGCCAGCTTTTTGCTCTTCCCATGTCAGTAGCCCAGCTGCAGCAGTGATGTTAGAGTACAGCCATGGCAGCATTACTGGAGACTACCAGCAGGGCCACTGACAGGAAGGAGCAAAAGGGGCAGCTGCCCCGAGGCCCCCAGCTGCTTGCAGTGAAGGACTGGCTGGGAGGTGGCGGGTATTCTGCTCTAGTTAGGCACCTTGTACCCGAGCCCTGCCCTTTGGGAGTCCAGAGATACCCCTCATCTTGCTAAGAATGCTGGACCCAGTGCAGGGCGCACTAGTAAGTTCCAGCATCTACTTTAACCCCTGTACATGCCAGATGTGCTAAAAATTCCCTTAACACTTTAACCACCATACCAGAGGATATGCATTCATGCTGCTAATGGGTTCTGCTAAATAATGATTCAAAGCAGTGCAGACCAATTAATGCTCATTTTCATCATCTGAGTCCAATGCCACAAGTAGGAGGTTGATTTTGTTTTTAGGTGATTCAGGTTCTGTAGTTTCTGCATCAGAATGTTACT